CAGCTGTACCCACCCACCCTGCCCTCCCCGGATGCCAGGCCCCAGCGGCCCCCGCTGACTGGTGTTCCTCTTCATGCCCCCCCCAGGATCCCCTGAGAAGCTGGTCTGCTACTTCACCAACTGGTCCCAGTACAGACAGGGGGCCGCACGCTTCCTGCCCAAGGACGTGGACCCCGACCTGTGCACGCACCTCGTCTACGCCTTCGCGGGCATGAAGGGGCACCAGCTCAGCCCCGTCGAGTGGAACGACGAGCAGCTGTACCGGGACTTCAACGGCCTGAAGCAGAGGCGAGCTGCGGGGGAGGGGCCTCCCAGGGGCCAGGCCCCCAGCACTGTAGCCTGGTGTGACCCCCGTGTGGCTGTGTGGGCCCTGCCGTGTGGCTGTGGGTCCCGCCGTGTGGCTGTGGGTCCCGCTGTGTGGCTATGGACCAGTCCCTCCCCCTCTCTGGGCTTCTTGGGCTCCATGGGGGCGACGAGGTGGACAGGGACCCCGGGCCCTTGGTTTAGGTCCAGGTGGGATCCTTTGTCCTAAAATCCGTCCATCTGTCCGTCCATGCGTCCGTCCATCCGTCCGTCAGCTCTGGTGTCTGCCACCTTGGCCACACCCCTCTGAGGGTCTGTCCTCAGCCGGCTGGGTTCTCCTGGCCGGAGTGTGTCTCTCCCGTCCCAGCCTAGAGCCCCAGCCTGTGCCCTGGGCTCACACGTCCCCACCCGCCAGGGCGCCCACAGCCGGGGCGGGAGCCAGGCCCAGCCTGACCGCCCTCTGTCCTCTCCAGGAACCCCCAGCTGAAGACGCTGCTGGCTGTCGGGGGCTGGAACTTCGGCACCCAGAAGTGAGTGGGCCGTCAGCGCCTGTGCGGGGGAGGGCTCGCTGGAGTGTGGACAGGGCAGGGGGTTGGGGGGTTAGAGGGGACACGGCCTGCGTTCTGGGGTGACCCCCTCTGGGCTGCTGGTGCCCCATCGGGCGGGTTAGTGCCGAGCTCCTGTGCACCCCCTTGCGGGCCTCAGCGTCCTCCTCTAAACGGGTGGAAGGAGGCTCCGGCCCGTCCCCGGCAGCGCCCAGGCCCCGAGAACTTCTGTTCCTCTGACGGGTGTCCCAGGCGGCCTGGGCGTGGAGCCCGATTTTTTCTCAGCGCCGGCCCAGCGCCGGCCCAGCGCCCATTGAAGAACCGCGGCTCCTCCTCGAATTAAGTTCTTTCCTGAAAGTGACTGAGCAGGAGGTCGGTCTTCCAGTCAAGACCCCAAGAAGTTCAGGGACTTCCACAGGGACACTGAGGACGGGGTGGGGGGCTCCTGGGGAACTCGGGGCTCTCGGGGCGCCCTGGGCTGGTGAGGTAAGAGCACAAAGCACCCCCCAGCGCCTCGCCCCTCCAGCCGGGAGGGCGGCCGCTATTGCTCGTGACCCCGCGATGTCCGAGCCGGCCTCCAGCCTCCATGTGCCCGGATGTCGCCGTTTGGGGGCAGGACACGTGGCTGGGTTGTCCCTTCCCCTCGGCCTGGCCCTTCTCACCCG